TGTAAAAATCTAGGTCTCAATTTTGATTGCACACAAACCCTAGGCCTACGTGAGGCGTGGTTGCAGTTGAGCGGGAAGATGGGCAAAAAAATGGTTCGTCCAGTTTGTACACCTTGAAATTTCTGGTTCAGTTCGAGTTTCTGTATGTGGCTATATGGCTATGGAGTGGTTTTGACACACTGTCATCTCCTGCGTGAGTACATTAGCGTTGCCCATGCCTTTTCTCCTCGCAAATACGAAATCTTTTTCCTTGGCTACGACACATATGATTCTTTGAAATGATGTGTTTCCATATGCCTCCCATTCATATGTCAGAAAGGATTACATTGATCCAACCCATCGTTTATTGTTACCGCACTTACTCGCTCGAGAACCTCGACCCTGTTCGTGTTTGTTTGGCTACTAGCACTATCCTAATAACATAGTTCGAGGTAGAAGGATGCGCCCTTTATAAGTGCCTATCATACTTACACAACGGAAAGGTTGGTGAGCACATTAACTATCCATCCATTAATTTTATGTCCATGTCCTGGAGTCTGCTTCATACCCGAGCCTTAATTTCAGTGGCAGGTGGCCTTCAAGGTTGCAAATGACATGCCATCAATGTTTGCACTGACATAATAGTCTAATGCATTCTTTCTTGTTTGTAGCCTCTGTTTTGCTTCGTAAATCTTATCCCTATGTCATTTAACTCCAAGCTGGAATCAACACCATCTTGCACAATAGAAAATCTTAACATCATGGTGCTTGCTCGGTCAAACTTGAAGTTAATATTTGTCGTATGATGAGGGTCTAGAGTCTTCAGTCATGTCATCTTGTTTTTAGGGTCGCCATCGGTGTAACATATTTTTATAGAAAGAAACAAAAAGTTTTTACAAGAAGCTCACCCCTATTACCGTCAATAGGCTGGAGCACGGACACACTAATTACTCTCTAAATTTGACTCCCCACCTCCTTGGCTAACTTCTATCGCTGAAATCAATCCAATATATGGGAGTGAGGTATCCTCATTGGCCCGCTGATGCATATTACTAACCACTCAACCGTCGATCTGTTTCCAAGGAATCCATGCAACCGAGATCACGAGCATGTCACAACCTTTTCTGCTAATATTGGGTAACAAACCTCTCGATCGAAGCCACCAATGTTCAAGAGTTTCATCAGTGTTTAGTGAAATGGTTGAAGGGAACACTTGTATCAAGCATGCTTACCTGATTTCTCATCCTGAATTGGAGTTTTTGTTCGTGTTCATTTTAAACTACTGGCATGTAAGGTTTTTGAGGTCTCTTAACGTCTAACCTTGTATTCTAGTGTAAATGTAAATACGCTGTTTCATACCTTTACATTTAAAAAAAATGCATGTTGCATTGCTCCTCCACATGTTTGAAAATATCATTTTACCTTTTGAATTTCTTCCCAACTACAACTCTTGTAGACTACAAGAGTTGTAGTATGCTGAGACAACTTTTTAGTACCCTCCCCCTTCAAAATCATAAATTTTGCAGAATACTTGATCATCATATATTTATTTTTATTTTGAAAATTTACATAGAATGATAGGAAAATTGAGGATTTGCTCTGGCTAGTCTTTGAAGAGTCAAGGAGCTTCCTAATCTGCATCTATGGTGACATGATTGTGGGGAGCGGATGCCCGCACTCTTTTTATCTCTCTCCCCCAGTCATACACCCCCTTTTAGCAACATAACTCCTCTAATGGTTTGTTCCACTCGTCTCAATATTGGGCTACTATTTCGTAGTGGCTCGGAAATGTGTGAAGTTGAGCTGTTTCTACACCCTTGTAGATTGTCGTAGGTGATGTTCTCTTACTCTCTCTCGAGCCTCAACTCCATTCAATTTTGTTTGGGTGCTAGTACTATCCTGATAAGATAGGCAGGACGCTACATAGGTAGTGCATCCTTTATAAGGGTGGATCATACTTACGTCTACAAGGTTGGTGAGCGTGTTAGCTATCCATCCATTAACCGCATAAAAAAATATTAACAGGTAAAATTGAAAATCTCAATGTTAAGGTGCCTCAAGTTGATGGTTCTGCATGTAATGAAAACAGGGGAGAGCTATCTTTTAAATGATATAGCGAAGCAAAAAAATAAGTTAGTGATTGTTGATGGCCAATGAGGTGTCGGTGTCACTGGCGGGTGTGACACCAGAGTGTTGGGGTGAGTCTAGTCGCCGCGGTTCCGCGCTACTTGGGGTACGCTGCAGCTTTGTTCCAAATTTTATCTCCAAATGAAATGCTTGCCACTCTGTGTTCGACATAGTATGTAATTCTACCTTTTTGGTTTTTTCAGAGTGACGTTTTTTATCCTTTTGTGTAATGTTGCTAGCATGGCCATGCCAACTTGCCAATCAAGTTCATTTTTGACATTACCCCTCAAGCAGTGCCTTGTGAGAGGATGCACCCTGAGATGAGAGAGAGAGAACTAATGTTCCAAATAGTGTTTCTGATGGCACGGCCAAAGAAAACATAGCGGGGCGTGGAGGAGTAGCTGCAAAGCTGCCTGTATGGAGTGGCGGTTCAGCTTTCAGCTTTTAGTTTCTCGCTCCCAACTGCCTGTATTTTTCTCAGGTTCTAAACCCTTGGTTTTGACTCCGAATTTGTGTGGACTAGATGTTATGTGTGAGATTAATGCGGTATGCACTTGAGGTCAGGGCTGAGGAGATAGAGAGGCAAACATTGATCCATTTTGTACACCATAAACTTCTATTGTTTTTCCTTTAATTCTCTATGCACCTTGATCATGGTGCTAGTTTTGATCTGATATGCACTGCTCTATTCCACTGGTCCGCTGGTCCCTCTGCTGTCAACTCAAATTTAAGTTGCCTTCCGTCTTATAGGAAATCCATGGAGTTCAGCTTTCTGTACAGCCTCTCCACTTGTGGCGGATGAGGTGCTTACACATGCCTCCCATTCACATCAGATTGCACTGCTTTAACCCATTGTAATTTTCATCGCTTTCTCTCTCTCTAGATCCACGACCCTGTTCATGTTTGTTTGGCTATTATCACGATCCTGCCAACATAGTAGGTAAGGGGATAGATGACCAAGACTACATATATATTTGCTAAGGTGTGTCATGCTTACACGAGGGAAGGTTGGTGAGCTTATTAATTGAGACCTTTTACAGTGCATCTAGTCGATATGGGCCATCCATTTTCAGTGGACGAACGAACCAGATTAACCAATACTACAACACAGTTCAGGTAGTATATGAAGGCGACAGGGGCCTTTTGGGCAGCTGTTAAAACTCTCGCAGCCATGTGTGCGGAGTGGGAGACTTTGCAAGCTACAGCTCGCATCTCATGCGGTGTTGCTGAGTGCCGGCCGGTGGGTAGCGGGCGATCCATCTACATAGTGCAGTAGCGCTAGGTGAGGTTGCATGGGGAGGTCAATCGATCTGTCCGTCGTCACGTCGTCATGGGCAATCGACATTTCCTTCCCTTTCACCTTGCTCGCTCCATCTTTCGCTCATTATCATCCCACGAATGAAGCATAATATTGTATGTAGTGTTGATGTATCTTTACGGTAGATAAATCGGTTAGTTATTTGCACGTC